CACACTGATAAATGGTGTTAGTGGGATAATCATGCAACATATTGAATGGAAAAAAAGTCCCCATTATGGAGTTACAATGGTCAGATGGCAATTTTACTGCTTCTTTTTAAAAATAATCGTGATCTGCTATTATTAACTAATAAAGATATTTGGAAAACATCATGTTATCCTCTAACCACTGTGTGACCAGTCTCCTTTCAGTCTCGCCATCGTAAATAGCTTGGAGTCAGAAAGAAAACAAAGGGGGGATCATACCGTTCTCATGACTCACTACTTACAGATGCATAGTCTTCCTGAAAACACATTTGATAAAGTAAAAGAACAGCTGTGCAGTTTCACTATTTTTGTGTTACAGGACTCCCCTTTCCTCTGGCCACCTCCTGTAACATAAGGGTAACATTGCTCAGACATTGAACACCTCCCATTTGTGACATCCAGTGTCAGCACCAAATCAAAGTTAGATGCTGAGTAAAATTGCCTCTGCTCAACCTCAAATCTCAGAAGAGCACAAGAGTCACGTGCACTATTTCCAAGCCCATCCCCAGTGGAACTTGATTGAGACCAATATATAACCCACGTCAAATATATATTAGGAGAGCATCATCTCCATTGGTCTATATTGGATTCAAATCTAAGTTGTTGAGGTGAATAGGATTTAGAAAATGTTTTTGTTTTCCCTGGCATATTCACCGTTGAGGATTCTGTATATTTTAAATAGAATAGACACTCTTAATTTGCACAAGGGAAGTAGATAGCTTATAACGCAACTAGTAATCGATAACAGCTAGATAGCAAGTACAGGAGAAGTGCATACACACTTTCTGCATACACATTTTACCCCAGACGCTATATCACAAATGTTACGCAAGAAGGCGCCCGTCAAACTAAATGGTAATTTTGTTTAAAACAATTGGATCATGCTTGTTTTTCCAGAGACAGAATTTTGGAACGTGTTTGTACCACAAATTGTGGACAGCGCTAGAAGACTACTCCAGTAATTACATTATACTCCAACCTCCCATTGTACTAAATAAAATGCAATATCAAAATGAATTTTTTACATAATGTGCTGCTTTATTTATTGAATTACATAAATTTTAAGGTAGTTAACAATTTGAATGCTCAACCTTCGTTCACATTGTGAAGTTTGAGAGATTCATCAACATCTGAACATCTATGCGACACAATGCAGCAAAGGTTATGTTACAACATACATGTGACGTTTCTCCTAGCGAATGTACTCATATCTGATAGATTATATTGCTAAAACAACCTAGTGATGAATAGCATGCAAACAGAAAGCTGTGGTGAAAGACCTGATTTGAATCACAGTTGATAATGCAGTTGACATTGACACTTTACACACATTACGTGTGAACTGCAGGATATGATGTCAACAGCAACCTGCTGACCTGGAAGCCAGGTGTGTTTCTCGTGAGCGGGGATCCACAGGACACCAGCACTTTAAGCCCAGCAGCACTATACTGATGGGTTCTGAAAGTGAGTTTCCCTGCATTAGGCTTCACCCTACCGTGGTTTACAGGGGAAATAAACCTTGTGTATGTTATACAAATACGAAGACATGCAGTAGCTCGGACAGAATACAGGAGGAGTTTGCTTCATTTATTCTTGAAAAAGTACCATCAGTCCCATTAATCCTTTGTAAAGAATGCTACTACAAACACTGGGAATTGTGTAGCGTGTTGTAGCATTCTGAAATACCTTGAACTGCAACTCATACCATCTCTTTCCTTCCAAACTGGAAAACTGATTCCCTAATCCCAACCAATTGAGTCACAACACAGCATAATTATGGAATAACAGCATCCCCAAATCCTCTTCATATCTGTAACTGCCAGGATGACTTAACAACAACAACAAGAATACATTTGTATAGCGCCTTTCACGTCGGGAGGACGTCCCAAGGCGCTGGACAGAGTACAGCATTTCAGAACCGAGCTGGGGTCAGGGAGGGAGAAGGGAGGGGAAAGGAAGGGGGTTGACCGATGGGATGGTCGAAGAGGAAGGTTTTAAGGCGGGACAAAGGAGGCTAAGGAGGGGGCGGGTGGAGTGACTGGGGGATGGAATTTCAGAGGTTGGGGGCAGAGTGGCTGAAGGCTTTCCCGCCAATGGTGGGGCGGGTGGGTCGGGGGACGTGGAGCAGGCCGGAGCCGGCTGAGCGGGGGGAGCAGGCGGGTTGGTAGGGGGTTAGGAGGTCGCAGAGGTAAGGTGGGGTGAGGCCATGGAGGACTTTGTAGGTGAAGACCAGGATCTTGAACTAGATCCTCTGAAGGATAGGGAGCCAATGGGCGAGAATGGGGGAGATGGGATCACGGAGTTTGGTGCGGGAGAGGACACCATTGTCATTGACAATAATAGTCATTGACACCATTTTATTTTTAATGAAATGCAACGTACTGAATTAAAGAAGGGCATCAAATTGTGGGCAATGAGGCTGCAACCTAATCTGGGTGTTCAGATGACTTTAAAAAAAAGTCCATGAGTTGCACTTTCTTGGTTTAGATCATCAGAACCCTGCAATTAAACTGCACCCTCATTACTCATCTAAACCAGCCTTAATTCCATATGTTCTTTTTTTAAAAAAAGTGGTTTTAATGTTGTAATTGCCCTGTGAAACAAGTGCCCCAGAAAGTTGGGGCCTGGTGCATGGTGGGTTTATGCCTGGATACCCTAGAATGCCAGGTTTCTGATCTCAACCATATTTTCATGGAGAAATGATGAACAGAGACCAGATGTCTCTCCCCTAGGGGATAGTTGTATGGAAAATTTAAGAGTCGGCCGGCCGGTAAGTGCGCATGGGTCAATGGGAAAGGACGTCATTTCCCACAATTCAAGTAAGCCGGTAACTGTGGGAGTAATGGAGGGTAGGGGAGCGGCAGAAAGAGTTAGGAGGTGATTAATATGTGTAGCGCAAATAAATCAAAGTGGTTTTGATAGGAAACTGAATGGGACTTGGGTGAATGTATGACTTTGTGTATGAAGGTAAGACATATGCGAGATTTACTCTAATAATAATAATTCACCCACAAAATATAGTCAATTTATTTTACACTATATTCTGTGAAGCGCGTTGAGTCGTCTATATCAAATGCGAGGATTATTATTAATATGTTCAAACACAGTTTTAAAACTTTTTTTCCAACATAAGAGCTCCACATTGCAGTACGTAGCACTGTTTATGATTTTTTTTCCTAAACTTGCCAGTGATCGACACTTCGCAATAACAATGGCTCTCTTGAATTTTTTTTAAAAATTGTGATTACAGAAGGAAATCAAAACTAGTTACACCTCAGATTTACCTCATTTAATAATACTTTTGTTTTAAAAATAATCACTCAAAATGAAATCTTGGCACATGAAATAAGGGCAATTTCAATCAATGTCTCGAAAAAACTTACAAGCAGTCCAAGTTATAGTTCATAAATGCATAAATTATACCAGTGTTCTAATCTCTCTAGTCTCACGGTACTGAAAAGGCTATAGAAGTTAATAAATTCCTTATGGCTTTCTCTGAAGCAGGCAATGACAGCCTGTGGTCTCAGATAACTCAAATAACTTTTCTTTTTCCACATTTAGATGTTTTGCGCAAATTAAAATGCTCAGAATAGATTTCAATAACTTTGTACAGAATGCCCCAGAGTGACCAGGGTCATGAATCAACTGTGCTGTTTAACCTCAAGGGCAAACCTACGATTAATGCCTTCAAGAATTATGCAGTTGCTGCTGATGTGGTTCAGCAGCACGAAAGAAATCACCAACACAGAACTATGAAGATGTACAACATAGATGGGTTGAACATTTGACCCATGCCATGGTACGGAGCAGAACAGGGGCTCAGCTGTGACATCAGAACAAGGAACCACATTGAGGAGACTAAGGGGCCCAGAATTCAATAACAACTTGCATTTATATAACACCCTTCATGCAAGGTAGCGTCCCAGAGTGTTTCACAGCCTGACAACAATTCCTCTTGTTCTTACACTTGTCTTAAAATTTGTCTCCAAAAAGCCATGAATTGAATGACCAATTTTTATTTGGAGAAACCAACTCGCTTCTCTTTTTGAATAGTGCCATGGGATCTTTAAATGTCTACCCTAAACAGACAGATGCGAACTCGGTTTAAAGTCTTACCATAAGGACAATCCAGCCTCTAACAATACAGCACACTCCCAGCATTGCAATAGGTTGTCAGCCTAAGAGGCATAGAAATCACCTTGGCTAATCTCAGGACTCTTCCAGAGTTTGTTTAGATTGCCACCTGCAGAAGCTCAGGGGGAAGTTGTACCTCATCCAGTTTAATGTGTGAAAGGAGCATCGGAGAAAGGGGAAGGAAGAAAGAGCATTTCACTACAATGTAGAGTTTATGTTTCCCACAAACTTTCTTAAAATCTCAGACGTTATGCTGATTGTCTGCCACAGAACTTTTGGTGAGACAGAACAGATCACAATAAATAGGGATAACACTATGCAGGAATTTCCCATGTTGGCAGAGGCTTGAATGACGTTATCCCCTTCCAAGTTTGCCAGAATAGGCAACAAAAAGTACAGTACTCCAACGACATTATGCTTTTCATGTAACATTTAACATCCTTGAAAATTTAAAATCACAAATGCACAGTCTCACAAATATGCATTTAATTTGGCAGCGGAATTTGATTTTTTGTTCTTGTTCCCATGACATGCACTCCACTGCAAGGTGGAAAGAAACATGGCACAGAAATGAGACTTGGACATGCACGTAATCCAGATGTGTTAAACTAGGGTCCAAGCTGACAAGAGTGTATTTTTTGGGTGGTTAACTTCCATTTGAATATTTATTATTTAAAATAGTAAAAACACATTTTTGAAAAGAAAACTGCCCTATATATATGCAGGTGGTTTCCTTTAGCAGCAGCTCTACGCTTTTTAAGTGTCCTCAGATAATCAAACATGTTTCTGACTGAAAGACTTTTTGCTTCATAAATACACAAAGGTAATACCTTCAGAGCGTGGATTTCCTCCAAGAGCCTTTCTGCCCGCTTTTGGTTCTTACAAATGGCATCAGCTGTTCCCCTGCAGGATGGTCAGATATGCAACATCATTTTAGTTTGAATATTAAACAGATAATGAACCAGATTCAACCACATAACATTTTTAAAAAAACAAACAAAACTACAGTTTTTTTTAACTTTGGCTTGGCTCAAATATTGGTGCAGACGACCCACTGATATATGGCTGTTTGCATTGTTGTACATATAGAGCCTGGCAATTTTATTCCACCTTCATTCTTCTTCCACACCACTCAACGAACAATTTCACAGCAAGATGTTGATGCTTGTTAATTGAAAATACCTACTGCTGCACCAGGATGGTTCTTTCTTTGTGAAATATAGAAAATCAAAGGATTCTGTTGCAATAAAAATGATGGTAAGAACAACAAAAACACCTTGCATTCATATAGAGCCTTTCTCATAGGATGATGTCTCAAAATGCTTTACGGAGAAAGAGTGGATGTCCAAGCAGGAATGTAGGTTTGGAGGTAATAATAATGCTTGCATTTGATATTTTGTGGGCGAAACGCCCATAAGATAGGAATATGGAGGGAGGTTACTAAAGGGAAATTCAGAGGAAGATTTTAGAAGGGCTTTTGAAAATAGAAAGGGAGTGTTCTCACTCTAGAAAATGGGAGCAAAGTATCTGAAAGCCTGTCCACCATTGGAGGATCGGAGGGTTCAAGGAAAATGCAGCAAGTCCAAGTTATCATTCCTGAGAGAATGGGCAGGGCAGTGGGATCGTCATAGATCACAGACTAAGGGCAGGGTAAGGGCATGAAGGCATCTGAAAGGTAGATCAAAGATCTTGAGTTAATCCACTGGGGGAAAAGGGAATAATTGGAGCCTGGCAAAATACCAGAAAGAAGATCCAATTATATGCATATGGGAGCAATGCAAACTTTATTATAATAATCCTTACATTTACATTTATTGTAAATTTATCATAGACCCGGAATGTGTGGAGAATCATGTCCTTCGTAATGTCATGGCAAATTTAAAAAATTTCACTTTTTTTTACTGCTCTACAGTTATCCTGTTTCACTTTTTAAACTTTCTTCGATGTAAGTTCTGGAGACATCGCCTTATATTCAGAACAATGTAGTATTCCATCCTTTCGATACCCTGGTCAAGATTGAATTGAAAATGAACATCTGGATTTTTTAAAAAAATGCCTGGCTGGAAGACCTTAAAAAAATTGTAGTCAACGTAGACACTTGGGCAAGTTATAAGCTTGGTATTTAAATGGTTAGGGCAGCAGAGTTGAACAATATATTGAAATATTATAACATAATATCATCCTTGCATTAGATTTCGCCTGCAAAATATACTGTGAAGCTCTTTGAGACGTCTTAACGACATGATAAGGCACTATATCAAGTGCAAGGATTATTATTATTACTATTATATGATTATATGTATGGAAGGGCCTTTCAAATCAGGTGGACGTCTTGAAGCACTTTACAGGAATTACTGTAAAGTCTAGGGACTGTGTATTTTTGTAGTCAATAATTTTGCATAAAGCAATGTCCCATAAACATGTATGACAATGCAGCACAGCCTCAGTTTAAAAAACTTCACTGTACTGAAGTGTCAGACTAGACTATGAGTTCAAAGTCCCAACATATGGTTTGAGCCCACAACCTTCTGACTCAAGAGGCGAGAATGTTACCAACTGAGGCAGGCTGACACCTGGCTGTGAAAATGGGAGTATGTACAGTACATAGATTCAACATTGAAAAAGTGACCCAGACAGTTGCAAATCTGAACTCCTATTTGAATTGGCCTGGGTTAAATGTCCTGCTGTTTACTTCTTGTTGCACATACTCCACAGGAAATGTTTAAATAAAATACATGCTGCAGTTCTAAAGGGTTTTCTCTCTTTACACTGATATTGTGTACACAAATATTTAAACCATGTACTCAGGAAAGCTGCGATGGGTAAATAAAATGTGTGGATTTTTTTCCAGGGTCATTTTGACTTGTCACAATAAATGTTCTTGATTCATCTTTAATATGCTAGTCTCACACACAAATAATGATGTATGTCTAAATTCTGTGCAGGAATGAAACACTTGCACTCGACACCTTAATGTTTAGTCAATGAGGAAATCACAGTCACATTCATTTTACCTTGACATCCAGGGCGATATAGATGTGAGAAATGAAACCTTCTAGCGCAATGCTGACCAAAGACACACAAAAAAAACAAGATGAGTGATAATATTCACGTTCACAGATTTGGAAGGACAAGGATTCCATCCCTTACTCTGCTCACTTCCTATTCTTTGCGACATCTCAAGTGGGGGCAATGGCAAGCAAAAACAACATTGTGTCCCTCCAGGGGAAGGAAAAGACAATCAGACTGGATCTCCTCCTGCCTTGACCCTTGTTGCCTCCTAGCAGCCGGCCAAATGGAGCACGAACAGAGATCCAGACGTTACCTCTTGGCAGCTGAGCTCGAGGCCAGGCAGACTAAAGAAACACATGATAATGGAGGGAAATTGACATCAATTTTCTTGACATTAATTAAGTCGCGCTTGGATCTTTTTAAAAAAAACCCTGGATACTTTTAAATTGTTGATTGCGCCAAATTATTTTTTTATCCGGAATTTTTTCAGCTGGGAAAAATGCTGATCTCATACTGCGTTATAAATCTTGAATGTCTGAATTTACTAGGGTGAGGAATGTGTGAAGTTCCTTAAAATTCCAGTAGTGTTTTTACAAACATGTTTGTACACCAGGCTTGTGTAAGTTATTACACGTGAAGCTAACGCTATGCGGAGTGGGATGACAGCATACTGGTGAGTGTTGAGTCTCCTGAGAGTTGGAACTTTGAAAGCGTCCTTAATACCGTAGTTAATAGACAACTTCAAAAGTTAAGCTTGTATATTTATACAGCAAGACTGAAATGGGATTTTAGAGTAAGATTAGAGCGATAATTAGAATGTCTATGTTGTGCGTACATGCACTTCTGGTGATTGTAGAGGGGAGGCTGATTGGTAGGTTTGAATGAGGTGCAACGTGAAGTGTCTTTCTAACTTTGTAACTTTAATTGTAGCTCTCTACATTTGCAATTACAAAGACAAAAAAAAACATTTTTTGTTGGGTCAGCTGGGTGTCTGACACAGGCATCAGCCTGAGAGTTCTACATACATGACACTCAGACATGGAAATTACCCTGCATCTGCAATGGAATGTGCACTCTCTCCCTGGAGAAACACACTATACTTACCCAATTCCAGAGGGGATTAGGTGTACGTTGGTGACAGCCAAGGTTTAGGGATACCAGAGTGTGCTTTGAGCTACTGCTGCAATTTAACCAGCTCAAAAACCACATAGCCATTGAACTACCCTTTATAATAATAAAACACCTTTTTGTAAGCTTCCTACTGATTGCCCAGCAAGGACCACCCTACTTGCTAAAGCTTTGGCTAGCATGGTCAACAGGAACTAAGGAGGAAGAATCCCTAGTTCCCGTGGGCTATTCTGACCTTCAAAGTCCATTTGATGAACCAGTCTGGCTGGTCTGTTAGCAGCAGTGCCGTGCAGTTCTGTGGATCTGCTTGGTTCAGGAATCTAACTACCAAGATTAACCCAAAAGATTGTCTCGATTCTAACATTCTGTTACCAAGCAATTCACCAGGAACCAGCTCAGCTCCTAGGAGATCCCACTTATTTATCTCCCAAGGTCAATAGCCACCAGTTGGTTATTTTGTATTGATAAGTGCAGGTTTGAGCCCTCACTAAGTGGATGGAAGGTGCTAGAAAGTAGGGCGGTACTGCGAGCTTCCTGGTGAGCAGCATAGCTCAGCATGAAATGTGTGAGAGCATTGACATGTTCTCCTCCCCACAGCGTGGACATACAGCCCTTACCCACTGAGCGATTGTTCCACCAGCTGGAGATGCGGAACTCAAGCAGCATCTGCTTCCCTCTCTATAAACCAATCAAGATGAATACCATGCCTCGAGTATAGGAATGTGTGTTCACAAACTTGGACTCCAGGTAACTAGTGATTGTGTCAGATATTCCAGCAACTGTAAGGCAGGCTGTTAAACACTTCGCCTAGAACTGCAGAGAAACACTGAAACAAACAAAAAGAGATATTTCACCAACTAACTTTTTTGCCTTCAGCTGTGTCATGTGTCTTGTTAGTTTTCGGATGACTAAAGTTCTTGCTGTTCTCACATCTTTTCTCATTTTAACAACCTGGAAACAAAAAGAAAAACGATTTAGTTAATAAACTTCATTTTAATAAAAGCAATAACTTAAAAGTAGTTTGAAGAATGCAAACTTATCTGGCAATTTTCCCTGTCTGAACATTCACAATTTGTATTAAATGTGAAATCTTACATTCCAGCATTCAATGGCAACTAACCAGGCCCAAATCCAAGAATCGAACTCATGTCTAAAAGAAACAGGCTTTTGAGGTGGAGACATTCCTAACCACTCATGTTTTAATGTTATTCTTGGACCTCCATCTCAACATATAAGAGACAGGGGAAAGAAAAAACATTTTTAAGATTCAATGAGTGTTAGAATGTAAAACCCTTATTTGGAAGTTATAATATTGATCTAATTCATTATCTTCCTTAGCTCCATGTTCAATGCTTCAAATAAAACCATTTATTATCCCCCCAAATATCCAACCCAACAACAAGAAATGACATTCAACTCTACAAATCCATGTTAATAAGGCAATTAAAAAAAAGATCAGTCTAGACTGTTAGACTTTAGTCTGAACTCAGTAGGCATTTTCTTGCTAAGAGTGTACATTGCAGTCAGGGTTGAATGAACTGCGAATATGAAACGGACATTCATCACAGGACATCAAGACTGACGCTTGTAAATATCCAAAAGCCTGCACACTCTTTGAAGAGTCATTCGCCTGCAGCACTTTGCACACATTCATTAAAAGTGCTGGAGAAACCAAAGGTATTATTTCTTGCAACAACTACAGTGGAAGTTTTTCTTTAACAAACATTTTTAAATTGGTCTTAATCCAACTCAAAATTGCATTGGATATACATTACTATTTGCTAGACTAAAGTATATAGCCAAGAAATCAAGATCACAATTTTGTATAATTTCCATTTGAAACTTTTAACAACAAAATTAGCAAGGTCACTACATAAAAAAGGAACAACAAACACTCAACACCTTAGTAGTAGGTGTTGTTATATTACAGTGGTACTAGGATTTCACTTAAATATCTAGAAATTGAGGAAAAAGGTAAGCTGCACTGGATCCCCACAAGACAGTTAAGATAAACTAGGTGACACTCCATACGCTTTTATTTACAACAATCAACAACAACAACAAGATTTCATTTCGGGAAGACGTCCCAAGGCGCTGAACAGTTGGGTCAGGGCCCGAGCAGGGGGGAAATAGTCAGGGTGAGGGGAGGGAAGGGAGGGAGCGAGGAGGGGGTAGAGAGTTGAGAGGGGAGCTGAAGGCACGGTCAAAGAGAAAGGTCTTGAGACCGACCTTGAAGGAGGAAAGGGAGGAGGCGGTGAAGGCACTGGGGGATAGAGTTCCAGAGCCTCGGGGCTGAGAGGCTGAAGGCCCGGCCACCGATGGTAGGGCGGTTGGGGCGGGGGATGTGGAGCAGACCAGAGCCGGAGGAACGGAGGGTACGGGCAGGTAGGTAGGGGGATAGTAGGTTGGAGAGGTAAGAGGGAGCAAGGCCGTGAATGGCCTTGTAGGTGAGGATGACGATCTTGAATTCGTGACACAACCGTGACATGTGCAGAGTCCACACAGATTCTTGCGTTCCAAGGAATTAAAAAAGGATGGGAACATTAGAATATTGAGACGCCATTCACCATTTGACAAGGTGGTGACAAGATCTCAATCAATTACAGGCACCTAATGCACGGTGGTGGAGGTAGGTCTCGTAGCCGTTTCAAAGCACTCCTGCTCATTACTCTGCAGGCAGCAATGTAGAGTAAATTCCTTTAAGGAATTCTTGCAAAACTTTGGTTCTTAATGTCTACCATTCAGCAGCCAGGCCATTGACCTAAATAGGGCTGAATGCCAGACTCTACCACTCTGATGGAAGAGTAGATACTTTGAATTTGTCAGGAGGATATAAGCTGTTTCACCCAACAGGAAATGCAGGCCATTGAATGAAGATCATTGAGGCAATTTTTAATCCAATGTGATCACCATTTCTATCTCTCCGTCTAGTGGAACTGCACGAAGAGAGAGATTATATAAACAGAAGCAGGCAGCATATCCTGCCAATGAACAAAATTCCCATTCTTGAGCCTTGCACACAGTACATGTGGTTCACATGTGGTCAATCTAGTATAGCAACAAAGCAGCTCTTGGCAGACAAACACCTAGAAGGCTTCTGAAAAAGGTTTACCACTGGATATGTTCACTGGAGTTGCAAGTCTTTTGTCAGCATACAATTCAGGCAGACATTCTGACATTGTGGAGTCGAGTAGCTCAGTGGTTAGAGCACTCGCTTTGCAAGTGAGAGACCTGAGTTCAATTCCAGGCAGAGGGCGAAACCTTGGGCAAGTTTCCTTACTCCACACAGAGCCTAATAATAATCCTCCAAAACCAAAACAATAATAAATTGGTCATTTTCAATCCACGACTGTTTGTGGAACATTGCTATGCGTAATTGGCTGCCGCGTTTGCCCATAAATATACAGTTAATTCACTTTACAGTGTGTTCTGTGAAGCGCTTTGGGACGTCCTCCCGAAGTGAAAAGCGCTATATCAAATGCAAGGATTATTATTATTATTAAGAGTAACTATTTGGAAACAATACATAAACGAATATTGGACATCTACAACAACTTGCATTCATATAAAGCCCTTCACGTGGGACAGCGTCTCGGAGCCTGACCCTGAGCCGGGGGGAGGGAGGAGGTGACCGCAAGCACAATTGAAGAGGAAGGTCTTCTGGCATGATCTAAAAGAGGGGTAGGAGGGGGGATGGCGGGGGGATTGTGGGAGAGAGTGCCAAAGCTTCGGAGTGTAGTGGCTGAAAACGTGACCGCCGATAGGAGCGGAGGGGACGAAGGACAAGCAGGAAGGCCAGAGCCAGCTGAGCAGAGGCAGCAGGTAGTGGAGTGGGGGAGAAAGCAGTGTTTAGGACGTCTGGTGTTTAGCACAAAGAATATCAGTTATTCACTGTACCAAGACCAGTTTGCAAATACTAATTGAAAGCCAGAATGTTGACATCAACAACTCGATCTTTTGCAAATAATTCTGACAAGGCTAAGTTGATCCATTCACATTTTCAAGACTCAGGTGGATAGATATTTTGTTAGGTCAGAATATCAAGGGATATGGGACAAGGACGGATAATTGGAGTTGAGGTACAGACCAGCCATGATCTTATAGAATGGTGGAACAGGCTGAATGGCCTACTCTTGTTTCTGTGTTTCTATATTTTGAGAGACTGCTCCAAATTCTGTCAGAGAAGATGCTAATTTCACTACCAGCTTTAAACACCCGAATGTCTACAAAACTACTTCGGACCCCCATCTTTTAAAATGGAGATATAAAATAATAACCCAAAAATATAAACAATAGAGATTAATGGAATTAAACTCCTAGAAAGATGGACAATCATTGACGGCTTAAACAATCATGGCCAATTGCCAACTCTATTCAAGTGCACTGGGAACCTGAGACTGCCAGCATACAGGTTCCTAAAAGAAAATTCTCGATTTCTTGTGTATTCTTGTTTCGTAACACATCAGTTAGACAGAAAATCTACACGTGACTAACTCAATCTTATGGTTGGAATTGGGGGGAAAGAAAGACAGCTGTATGGCACTGTTGCAGTATTTTATATGCACAGTGGGTCCTTATCCCTTAACCTGGGTTCACCCAGGTTTTCAATATATTAAACATAAATTTACAATAAAATCTTGGATTGATGTTTTATGAAGTGGCCAAACCCTTTTAATGTAGAAATGCTAAGGTGCACAATATTGAGAATTTGTACAGTGGAATCTATGCTTCATTTCCAAAGGAAGAGGAGGTGGATGAAACAAAGGAATAACCATTTTGCCAGATGAGGTTGGTTGATCAACCATTAACACCTAAAGTTTGCCAACCCTGCTGTCTACAAAAACAAAGCAACCAGACACAGTAATTTTCCACATTAGAAATTTATGAACAAAAATGTGCAAGACTGGTCATGGAACCAAATTCACATTCCTACACAGCTGTCAAGAGGGACATTTGGTAGGATGATCTTTTAGCAGAAGATGCAACCACAAAAACAACAACAACAACAACAACAACAACAAGATTCCATTTATAAAGCGCCTTTCATGTCAGGAGGACGTCCCAAGGCGCTGCACAGTTGGGTCATGACCTGAGCAGGGGGGAAATGGTCAGGGTGAGGGGAGGGAAGGGAGGGAGAGAGGAGGGGGGAAATGGTCAGGGTGAGGGGAGGGAAGGGAGGGAGGGAGCGAGGAGGGGAAGAGAGTCGAGAGGGAGCTGAAGGCACGGTCAAAGAGAAAAGTTTTGAGACCGGCCTTGAAGGAGGAAAGGGAGGAAGCGGCGAAGGCACTGGGGGATGGAGTTCCAGAGCCTCGGGGCTGAGAGGCTGAAGGCCCGACCACCAATGGTAGGGCGGTTGGGGCGGGGGATGTGGAGCAGACCGGAGCCAGAGGAACGGAGGGTACGGGCGGGTAGGTAGGGGGATAGTAGGTTGGAGAGGTAGGAGGGAGCAAGGCCGTGAATGGCCTTGTAGGTGAGGATGAGGATCTTGAATCGATCCTCTGGGGGATGGGGAGCCAGTGGAGGCGAGCGAGGGTGGGAGTGATGTGGTCCCGAAGCCTGGTGCGGGACAGTACACAGCTGCAGAGTTCTGAATGACCTGCAGCTTGTGGAGGGAGGTGCCGGGAAGGCCGGCGAGGAGAGAGTTCCCATAGTCCAGCCTTGAGGTGATAAAGGCGTGAACCAGGGTTTCAGCAGCGTGAGGGGTGAGGTAGTGCCGTAGTCTGGCGATGTTCCGGAGGTGATGGAAGGCGGTGCCAGTTGTTGTGCGGATGTGAGGGAGAAAGGACAGCTCAGGGTCGAACAAAACGCCGAGGTTCCTGACTGGCTTTGAGAGGTGGAGAGTGCAGCCTTGGATGCTGATGCTGTCAGCGCCTGAGGTGCGGAGGCGCTGACGTGAGCCAATCAGGAGGGCCTCGGTTTTTCGCACGTTGAGCTGAAGAAAGTTGTCTC